CCCTATTCTGAATAAAATATTGACATTTGCCATCTCCACATCACTGCATTCAGTTTTTATTCACAATTTGTTTAGTGTCCCAATTTTTTTGGAATCCGGTTTGTGTTTTAAAAAAACACAACTTGTTTTTTTTTTGTTTTTTTTACACAGAAATTATTTTAATTGAGACACATGTTCTGGCTATCGACGTGTATTGATGATTTTGATGACGGCACTCGTCAAAATGCAATGTTTGTCACCGATTTCTCAACTGTATGTTGTTTCGATGACTTTTTATTTTTTATGATGTGAAGCACTTTGAACTACCTTGTTGCTGAAATTAGCACTGTTGCTGCTACCTGCTATTCAAATAACATTGCTTGTTTGATTGCTTCATATAATAAATTATTTCCATAATTATTTACAGTTTTAAAAAATAAATACCACATGTAAATCATTATTCCACAAGTAATTTGCTTATTGGAACTTGGCACTCTTCACTCTCCATACCCACAGACCATTGGTTTTTATTAGACCGCTGGAGGAAGTTGGGGATTTCAACTTAATTTGTGATCCACTTGACATGCTCACTCTTCACCTTATGTAAGATGGTTAGAGCTGAACAGTGTTACAATAAAGTTGTACTTGAAACAAACCTTTATTTTCTCTACGTCCCTTGCGCAGCCCACCACCTTCATGCCGAAACGGACCAGCTCCTTAGCTGTAGCCGCTCCAATCCCGACCGAAGCTCCGGTCACCAGAGCCACTCTGCCCTTCCAGCGGTCCATCAGTGCTTCTCACCCGAACGTTCTTCAGCTAAAAAAGGCGACCATAAAGCATGTGACAGGGCAGCAGAGCGACCAGCGAGTTTCTATAGTTACAAACCCGTGAACGCAGCACGCTGGTGGTGACGCAATACGTTATCTATGTGGCGCGTAAAGACAAAAACACCAGGAACGGTCGCGAATTGTATGGAGGCCAGTTTCTGCCACTGTCATGAAAAAAAAAAAAAAATATATATATATATATATATATATATATATAAGTAAGAAATATACCAACAAACATACAAAAATATGATATTTATGTCATACTCGCTTATAATTCTGACTGCCATTTTGTACTATTACATCATGAAAAAGTTTCTCATAATTAAAATAAACAATTTATTTCCCCAGTACTCTTAGGGATTAGAGAACACAAATAGTGCATAGCAAAAATCCCAGGATACATGTGACCCCTTTAAACTGATTGGTTTATTTAATGAAACAAAAAACACCAATCATACCTTAACATGCCTTAATATGCACTGTGAAAACCATTATGTCTGGTCCATATAACATTGTTAATATTGTTTGTTAACACTCCCTACCAAACCTCTGGGTCACATGAATTAAAATTAGTTTCTGTCCTGGTTTCCATTTTGTGTTTTTGATTTGAAACTAAAAGGGAAACATCATCATCATCATCATCATCATCATCATCATCATCAACAACAACAACTTTGTTCATAAAGCACTTTAACACCAGCCACAGCTGAAACAAGGTACTGAATATCAGCAACAAATAACAAAGATAAAAGAAAGCATAAATATATTTATGATTGCATGATGTGTGCATCCTAATGCTGGACTGAAATTTTAATTTTTTTAATGTATTTGGCGTTATCAATGCACTGTAAGTAACATTTCTGTAAATGCCCCAGAATTAACCAAATTGCTATGTTTCACCTGTTTTCCCTGGACGGTGAAAATGCATCGATGAGTTTGTTGAAATTCAATCTACAATTTTAATGGACAAAATAAGGTATGTGCGCAGGAGAGGCTTTATGTGGTGCAGTCATGATAATGAAAACAACTCTGTTTTTCTCTCTTTCTCTTCTTGCAGATGTTTGTATGTGAAACTGTATTTTTAAGTTTACTTTAATCTGAGCTTCTGCTGAGTCTGTTTGACAAAGTTCATTTCTTCACTCTGACTTAGAAATGTGAAACTACTTGATTAGCTTCCCTAAAAGTTGTGACACTACGAAGCCTCTATAGCCTCTCTGAAGAATTTGCTTTATTCCTTCTCAGTTTTGCTAATTCAGATAATACCTAAATATCTAGTAATTCTATGTCCAATACTCATACTATATATATGTTTATATATAAAAAAATAAAATCCCCTTCTCAGGTCTCAAGGCCTGGGAGCTTGAGGGTTCTGCGCAGTATCTTGGCTGTGCCTAGAACTGCACATTGTAATCAATCCTTCTGGATCAGGATTGTGTGCCCTTCAGTTAACCATTAGGGTCTGCTCTCTCGTGTATCTCTTTAGGCGGCTGGCCAAGGCTTGGAGCCTCTGTTTGGCAGTTTCGAGTGCTTCAGGTATGCTGTACTTCTTGGGTACTGGTCTTTTCTCTGACAGTTGGCTCACTACCCTCTAACCGTCTTTTCCATGGTGGGTATTGAATCTCATTGTTGTTCTTATTGCCAAGTAGCTCAGCTCACTGATGCTGGTTTCTGTTATGGTGTTGGTAGGGATCGTTCTCAATGCTGCATTCACATCCTCAATGAGACTTTCTGATGGTACTTCACTCAGCCGTTGTAATTGCCGTCGGGGTTGTCTATTTCTCTCACTATATTTTCTCATTCATTACTGTGGCTGCATACCCAATCTCTGGGTTTAGCAGTCATTGTAGACTGGGGATGTCTACAATTTGGGGATGTCAAACTTTGCATCCTTTGCATGTAGCCTCTCTAGTTAGAGAGGCTACATGTTACTTGAGTACTTGAGTAGTAGCATTCCAACAGATCCAGGTTTTCACCTTTCGCCCATTTCCATCTTGTTGCAGTAGCCCATTTGTCATCAAGGTGCTTTGGTTCCCCAGCACCTGACGCAGACCTTGTTTGGCTGGGCAACATCTGAGCCGGCATATTAAGCATATCAATGTCTCTCATGGTATGAGGTGGGCAGTAGCTCAAAGGGACTTGCCTAAGGACCCAGGTTTTTTTTTTTGTGTGTGTCTCGGCCTGGATTTCAGGTGAAAGCCATCAGGTGAAAGACTGATGGCTTGCCTATTGAGCTATCCAGTCAATATACATCCAACAAAGATCTACACAGTTAAGACAGGGTGCAACACAAATATGTACATATGCAATTATTAATGTTAATTTAGCATTCATTTAAACATTTTTTTTTCATTTCTTCTTAATTTGTTTTTAGTAATTCAGAGGTGAACTGCTGGATGAGTTTGCAAACTTGTGGACGGACATTCTACTTTTTATGATTTCCTGGCAGCAGGCAGATTGCATGATTCCTTGAATCATAAAACTATTCAAAGAAATTAGACATTGACCTTAAATAATAAAGAGACATCAATATCATTACATGTGAAAAATAGTGACTTAAAAAACTTTCTGTCTCTATCAACCTTTATCCACAAAATTGGTTGGATAATTCTTCTCATAAACTCCGAATTTCCAGTTTTACTCCTGCAGTTTAAAGTTGAACATTTGACAGATATTATCTCCGTGATTTATTACCATGGCTTTTTATGGCGTGCGCTGTCAGAGACAGTGGCTAGACAGACTGTACTCGCTCCAGGACGCATTGGTTCGATTAGGGACCATCCACCCACCAGCTATTCAATAAAAATAGTTTGCGGGTGGATTCTGACACCCAACCTCGATCACTATCTGTCCCCCACCCCATTCCACGGTCCTCATCCTGAAGCTTCTCACTTCATTGGCGCTCTCGTGATGTAATGACCACATCCGGTCTCGTGCGAAAACCTAAGAAATATGAACAAACGGGCCTTTTTTTCCGTTTTTGCTAAGCTACTTGCTAGCATTTATCGTATAAAAAGACACCCCCCCTTTTTGTTTGATACTATATAAAACTAACCTCTACGTTTTAGAATGTTTGATATGATAGTTATAGACAAATAGATTAGCTAACTGAATTTTGCTAACCCTATCCTTCTCATTTAGAAGCTAACCTACATTTCCCCAGGAATTTTTGTTGAATTACCTTCAAAAAAGCTTAACAAGCTTCTTCGGAGGGCGACGCTTCTTCTTTTTATTATTATTTTTAATTTTTATTTTTGTCTAATGTGGCGAACTTAATTTACCATTAAACACAGAATCTAAAGCCAAGATGTGGGTGTTAAAATTCAAATATTCTATGATTTGAAGATATTTTTCTCTCTCTCTACAAACATGTATAATCTTAAAGGCTTAACTGATTCAATCAGAATGTCTATCAATGATCTCTATCTGAAATATAAGCTCAAGGTTTCACACATAATTTGGAGCTCTTAATACCTGAGATAACTTCAAGGTAAAAGTTTGGAAGAGGGAAAAAAAACGAAAGAAAGAATAAACTCCAGTGAGCCACCGTTGGCTCACTGTTCATGGCATGTGCTGACAGCGCACGCCATGAACAGTCATAATAAAACTGATAAGAGCCTTTCTTTGATCCTAAAATAGACTCTGGAGTCATGTCTCTCTTTGAGAGATGAATTTGAACTTCAGCAGGTGAAGTTGCCTCATTACGCTGCAGACAGGGAATTTCTCAACACAGTTATGATTCGGCCATAGAAGGGGACACTCAGACTGGCAGAAAGTTACACAAAATAAAGCATGGTGAAATCTTAAAGGACAAGAAGGTGAACAAAACAAAAAAACAACAACTGGTGATTAATAATAATAATAATAATAATAATAATAATAATAATAATAATAATAATAATAATAATGTCAAGCTGGAAGCAGAAGTGAAAGATTAAAATGCTGAAATATTTTTGTTGTTGCAAACAACAAAAATGTGTTCATTTTTAAAGATCATTAAATTCCAAGCTAGCAAAATATAATAATTTATTTTGAAAGAGCACAATTAAAAGTATTAACCCTTCAAAAAGCAATTAAATTCCATTTAAATTAATGGTTTTAATATTTAGAATTAACATTAAAAACAAATGTGAAAACATTCCAGAGTTGTGAGTGCGTTTACAAAGCACTTATAAAAAGATCAGCAGCGACACATTCCACCTTAAAATCAGACTTTTATTCTTTTAATTGGAGATTAACATCATTAATTTCACAGATGAAGATCATCTGAAGAGTGAGTGGTGTGTAAATGCAGCCATCACATGGTTCAACATCAGGCCTGCTGCTCCACAGGTCGCAACAACATTTCTCCAATCTGGAAAACAAGGTGGAGTCACTCAGACAAAGAATAGCAAAAGACAATTCTTTAGAACTGAAACATGTAAAGAAAGAAAAACCAACTACCTGAACATGAGGCGGGGCACTCAGGACATAAACCACGGCGTTAGCAACGTCTATCGCCTCCAACGGCTGTAAAATAAGATAAAGGCTTTACTGCTTTTCTCTGTAAAAAGTATCAAGTGTATTCACATGCTTTTTTAAATATGCTTACCTTAAGCTGAGAATATGTTTCCTTAGCTTTACCAGGGGTTTCGCTATGGAGACGATAAGCAAATTCAGTCTCAACTAGGCCAGGAGAAATGGACTGAAGAGAAAAGAGGACAACACAGTTGTGATTTTACGTCAGTTAACGTTAACTTTTAACGACTTAAAAAGACGTCTAAAAATATTGGCCTGAATCTTTGAAGATCAATTCGAAAAATGTTTCAAAAACCTGAAAGAACAATAAGTTGTATTCAGCAGCAAGTCATGCATTTCAAAAGCCAATAAATCTGTCATTTCAGAAACAAACAGCCTTGAGTTATGAACTTTTTCGCCAATAAACACACCTTCACAGGGCTCTGCTACACAAATAGGAATGAAAATATGAATGATCACCTTAGCCTTAAAGGTGCCCTATGTAAC